AGAATTCGAAGTTGAATACATTCAGTACACACACATTTCATTAAATTTCATGGAAAAAGTTGATGAGAAAGTATATTTGTATGATTTCAATATTGAAAAATATGTTCGATTTATAATTTTTTTTCAGTGAAGATTTGAGTAAATAATCAGTTGTAGCAAGCAAGCAAATTGTAGCATCATATTAATGATTCATGAAAAATTTGCTGCTTCTCATGTTATTTCATACTAAAATTCCATACTGAAGTAGATATGGAATGCTCCACCAAAATGAAGTCGAATTTTCTCGACCATGATTTTCATCGATTACGTTTCTTCATCGAGTTAAAGGAAGGCATCCTGTGGTTTCTCAATGACAAAATACTGTTCGAAGGAAATTATAAAAGTTTTCGTTTATCTAAAGCTTTTTCCTGTCAGGTATATTTGTATACAAAGCTAACCAAGCATGCACGAACTGATTTGTTGGTTTTTATTCTGTTCAACAGTTCTTCAGAAGTTACTCCTAACTCGTTCAATACTGTGCTTTTTTTAATTAGCATCGACTAATTAGCGTGAAGCAAGTTGAAGTTACAATTCTGAAATGAACTTACAATACGGATCCGCTGGCTTTGTTCATAGCCAAGCTCTTCGAGGTATGACAATCTTTTCCTGATCCGAAAAGAAAGTTGGATTTTCGATTCATAAGCGCATTGTTGCTGGAAAGAATGGTGGAAACACACGAGATTTGCACATCCTCGTTAATTATTTAGATAAGAGCAGGAATTTGCATTCGTTACTCTAAGTACGAGGGCAATTAAAGCTGAAGTTCACACTTTTTCATTGCAAGGTATTCATAAATCATCTAGGTGATATAAACCTCTCGAACAAAGTCAGGGATCAATTTCATTAGAACAATTCTTCAGCTAGCAGGTGTTCACAAACTGTAAGATAGGTAAGTGAATGAATAACAATTCAGTATTTATAGAAGGCAAAGTGATAGATTATGCCGATCGAAAATGAGTGCGACAATAATATACTACGTATAATACACACATAAAAAATGAATCAAATGATAGGCGAGTGACCTAGGTACTTGTTTTTCATTTCTTAAATAGACTCATTATCTCAATTACCTTTTTTTCAGAATTTTTCATTCGATTTCAAGGTGCTTAAATTATCATTATTGACATCTTAATTTTCATACGGCTAGAAATTTACCGCAAATAAAAACTTTAGAAATATCATTTTTCCACCACTAGCTATAGAACCTACCATTATTTACTACTTTGGAAGGCGAAAAGTGTGTTTCTACTATATACCAAGGTAGTTTTCGTCATTTTATATATCAATCAGCTATAAGAAATCCATTGTCTTGTAATTTCCCTCTCATAAGTTATGTCAAATTGCATAATAATATGATGAATTTGTTTGAATAATTATTATATTAATTCACACTAGAGGAGATAACATCCAGTAAACATGACAATAACACATGATTGAGGGCTTTGTCTTGTCAGTTCTCAGCGTTTAGCACAGCATTGCCATGTCTCTAGCCCATAGCCAACTTTTACATGCTGCAAATATATTATATTGTATATTTCTTCATATTCATGTACACATAAAAATAATTATCAAATCGAAATGATATATCTATATTTCCTCCCTATAATTCTTGAATTCTTCTCCAAGAAGAATCTATCGGAATCGAGTTCATTGTGAGGAAAATGATAAAAAATGCTGTTCATATTGATACAGTTGAAATTCATTCTTCGACAAGATTGAATAGGTAGGTATAGTTCAAGAAATTGAAAATAATCAAAATTATTGTATATGTAGTGTTATCCTGTATGAATAAGTCAAACCTTCAAAACCTGAGAATTAGAATATTTTTTCCACAACTAGCTTTAAAACCTATATGTATACCGCTAGTCAATAATGACATATACAGGGTGTATCTAAATAACAACGAAAAAATTCAAGGGACGATTCCTTGTGATATTTTAGGAAATAAAGGTCATATGAACATGTGTCCTAACTTGCTTCGTTTTCGAGATACAGGGTATTAATATTTCCATGAAAAATCGTGTTTTGATTCATTACTCAATTATCTCTTCATCAATTTCAATAAAACATTGTGGTTTTGTTAATAGTAATATGGAGCTTCTTCTGGTGTAATTCGAGGTGTAATTAGATTCGAAATAATATTTCCAGTGGCGTCACACTGAGTACATTTATCGATATTTATGGTGAATATCATTGTACGCCATCGGTTTTTCTGAGTTTCATATTTTTATCAGATTGAACTATTGAAATATCAACTTTTTCATCCTTGGTGTGATTTTAGTATCTAGCTTATTTTTTGAGGAAACAATAAAAATTCGATTTGATTCCAAATTTTATTGTAGATGTTTTCAAGACTTCCATTGGGATTACTCAATAACCCCAATCACAATCATTTTGAAACAGTCTCCAACCATACTGAATTTTGGCACCATAAAAGCTTATACCGGGGGGGTATAAATGAAAACAATTGATACTTACAACTTCAACATCCTGTATCTCAAAAACGGAGCAAGTAAGGACACATGTTATATGAACTTTATTTGCTAAAATATCACAAGAACTCACCCCTTCGAATTTTTTCGGTGTTATTTAGATACACCCTGTATAGCCAGCCACCTCTGTTGTAATTAACCCGAATGCAGGTCATGGTCATGGCCAATTAATGAAAATAGGTCCATATTTCGGATGCACAGAACTAACATGATTGAAATATATTGCTAGTGGTGAAAAAAATTCAATATAAACCTTGGTAGTAATAGTTATTTATGTATCAAGGGCGTAAAGTAGGCGTTTATGGCCTGTGGCGGAAGGCCATAATCGCATTTCACGCACGAGATACATACAAAATTTTATGCAATAGTGGTTTATTTTCTGACTTATAAGTAATGACTATATATTTCGACAAACGAATATTCCCCAGAATTTAATTTGTTACGTATCAATTCAGTAATCAAGAGAAGCGTAATGTTCATGGATGATTTACATATCAAAATTATCGTACGAATATTGCAATTATCGTAATAGTAAAACTCTTTCAGCTCTAGAAGAGATTCATTCTTCAGAATTTTACAATATGTATACCCAGTATATAAACCTAACTTATTTAATTTTGACGTTGTCAATCAATCTGATGATTGTTGTCAATAGCAATACATCAAATAAACGAGCTGAATTGTCATTCTTCGACTGAGAAGTAAAATTAGTGATAATAATAATAGCGAGACTATGGAATCGGATAAAGAAGAAGTTTATGATATACCGCTGGATATATCAGAATCTAGGAATATGATCATAGATTTCTCATGAATTTATATGCGGATATAAGGTGACTGAGAACAGCGGGCGGTAAAGTGCACTTTACGGCCCATGAGCCAAAATGAGCCCACGGGCGGTAAAGTGCGACTTAACGCCCGCAAAACCGGGCGGTAAAGTGCACTTTACGGTCCGCTAGTGCTTAAAGGATATTATTACCACGCGGGACCTTTATATAATCTTGGTCCCTGGGTAATAATGATATTATTTACTACCTTGGTGTATAAATAACTTTCATAAAATTTAGTACCGAATCCTTTATACATGTGTGTATATCCTTCCGATTGGAATTTTCCAGAATTGAGAATGCTAGGAGGAAATGAAAAAAATTACCAAAGTAATTAGCAGCTTATAACACAGTACTACATGCTACCTTAATGATTTGAAAATCCCTTGACGCCAACGTAATAAACTACTTAATTAAAAATAACTTAATTAAGGTCTTGAGACTAATTAGTGCGGTTATAGGCCTCTTTCTTTGCGATAAGGGATGTTTTACTACTTTCACATTATATTTTTCATCTCACTTCGGCTTGTTAGCTTTCACATGTAATTAGTCATTAGCAATAGTGTTGGGACCACAATCTCACGGATGTTAAGCTTTTGTTTTCGCCAGTAGAAATTAATATGGCTGCATGGTAGTAATTAATTGAGTAATTTCGCGGACTTCATATCACAACAAATAGATAATTGTATTCATTCCCACTACTTTCAAGGGTGGAATCTTCCTGGTTTCAAGATTGCAACAAGATATACAATCTATTAATACCAGCGTGGATAATTAACGATCTACGAGTATTAATCAATAATAACCAATTAGGGCAATTAATTATTGATACGGTAATGTGGCAAGATTGTACGTCCCATGATGTTATGGGTGGTAGAAGGCGTATAGACATGGTGTACCCCGTTAAATTACTTCCGGTCACTCAAATCCCCTCGAACGGACTTTGGTTAATTTTCAATTAAAATATACACACCTTGATTGCATTGGCGGATATTTTGACATTTCTTTGATTAGAAATTGAATATGGGGCTATACTCAGCTTGATTATATCCTCTGCATCGAGAAAATATCCAGATATACAAGTTTTTATTCAAAAAAGGCATCCAAACCACGAAATGTTATATGATGAACGTGAAAAGCATCAGGTTCCAAAATTGAGAATTGAGGAAGTACATACCTCTTTTTGAAGTAATAACTATAAAAAAGTTAACATTTTTAAAACAGGTCGTATATAACGAATCTCAAACCTCCTATCTGTCTGACCAATGTAGGATGAATTACAATCATTGCAATTGAGTCTATATACACCAGAATATTCAACAAGAGGTATTTTAACGTTGAGTTGAGTTGAGTAATAGAGAAATTTACTCTTGCTGTGTATAATAAAGATTATATGGTGATATAGCATTCACTTATATAATTCATGGATGAGTATAGATAAGCACCGTGAAGAACAGCCTTTTTTCAATATAATACAAGAGATATTCTGTATTCGAAACGAAACATAAGATAACTGTAAATTCATAGACTGAAAACTCACTGATGAAATATTCTATAGACGAATTCACTTCGAAGAAATGTATGGTTGAATATTGGTGAGATTCTCTACATTATATTTGGAGGAATCTGATTTTTCTCTTACCTGAAGTTGGAGAACCACTTCACTAGTTGGGCAGTGTTGTTTTTATTGAACTTGATGTCGGGGAAGTACATCTTGAGGACCGCTGAGCTCGGATACCTGACCCAGAAGAACATCAGCTTGGCTTTCCTGAGGTGCATCGGCGTCAATGTTGACGAGTGCTCAGAAGTCAAGGAAATATTCGGCTACATTGTCGAACAAATAACACAAAAATAGAACCCCATATATTTTTATATTGACCCCACAATATTAGTGATCCCTTTCGCAATCTTCAAAGTGATTTTGGCCAAGTTAGTAGATCGTGAGAATAACACCTAGGTAGTTAACATTTTGTCAAAAATTAAATGTCTTGAATTTCTGGTAAATAATAAATTCAATAATCATCGCTAAGCGCTTTAAGAAATTAGGCCATCATTTGAACAATATATCATAGGAGAGAGTTGAAAAACGGAATTTTTTCATTGATCTGGTACGTCATTGTATGCAGCCATATAAAATACCAACAGTTTGTAGTACATTTCATAGATATTTGCTACTGAATTCCAATTCGCAGAGCATGCCAGTCTTTTGATTATAGTGTGTTAAAATGCCCGAATGTCATTAGCAATTTGGTCCTGAAATGTATACTCCTCAATGAGGATGCATATAATCACAGTTTAGAAAATATTTAAACTGTGATATAATACCAAAATTACATTGAGAGATATATTTTTGTTTTACCTATACCAAAAAAGTTATATCATTAACATCAGTTTCAGAATTATCTGTGTATTGGAAAGATCTCAGGTGAAACCTCAAAATCGACAACATTGTCAACAAAAAATTCAAGATCTCTGAGGCTTCTGGCAGGAATTTGAATCGAATCTATTCCAAAACTGTCCCCGCGTGTAGATAATATTAATTGAGCATAAGTAAAGTTATGACTTCAAATTGTCAGAAACCTCAAAGATCCCCCACTTTTGGTTGCAGATTCTCAGATTTTGTCTAAAATCTTCATGAAAAAGTAAGTTTCAATACTTATAGTAATGGTGATGAGCTGTTAAGTATTATTCCATGAAATTTTGAGATTATCGTAATAAGGGATTCCGAATCGAGTAGTAGATCTTCTATACATCAGGTACAAAGATAATAATTATATATAGCATACTCTATATTCAAAAATTATTTTTGCGTTGAGGGTTGAGGTACATATATATAATTGTTCGAAATCAGAAGTTAACTGTAGATTATCCTGTCTCAAGTGAGTCACATGGTACTGGGTGTTACCGAAATTGGGGAGATCAATGAAATGGATGATAGGAGACAAAAAAACAGAACGGAATAAAAGAATACATTTTTGACGAAAAATAGATATTTTGGAAGATATTGAGCTTCAAAGTTTGCTTTCGGCGAGATCACAAGCACTGGAAGTGTCAATGACTTTTGCAATGTTGCCGGACGTTCCATAGTAGATGAAAGATGCAGTATGGTGGGAGAGCATATTTTTTGAAAAATTTTCAGAACAATTTTATTCATCGCCCCAATTTCGGAATCACCCTATGGAGGAATATGAAAATAACTAGCATTTGATGGGCTAGATAGGTCATTATTCATGAACTTCCATATATTATTATAGTAATTCTTATTTCCGATTCTGTTTCTTGAGAACACATGTTCCCTGTACCTTCGTTCTCACGTAACTAAATATATTAAGACATAAGAAGTGGATGAAGAATTCATATCTGCTATCGTTCAAAAACTTCATAATAACATAAATTACAGCATGATAGACTTTATTTGTAACTTTTTATTCAGTTAAGAGCTGAAAATGTAGATCATTTCTATAAATAATAGATTGATCCGATGAAGTAGGTAGCAAGTGAATTTTCTTTCTCTTTCACCTAATACTACTAAGTTATTTGTAAGGATTCTAATAGGGGTTTATTCAGATTCGATTCTGATACGCTATAGAAAAAACTTAACCCCAAGTCAGGGGATTAATAAGAAGACTTACAAATAAGTGTGTATTATGGTGACTAGGTTCAAATGTCTTTTGATATCAAGTGAGATTTTTAAATCAATCGTATTCTTCATTCAAGAATAGTTCTTTCAAAACATCTAAATATTTGCTTTGATAATTTAAACATCAAAAATGTCTCAAAAAACAATGTGGAGTTGATAGTTGATAGAATCAATGATACTCGAAAGGAATGAAAAACACTAAACAAAGATACGTCTACCCATCTGCTAGAATCATTTAGGAGTGCTTGATCGACTTGCAAGAATGAAAACTCCATACAAGAAGTTTTCAATCAATGATCTTGTATTTTTTATGCATCTTTCTCATCCTAATAGGCAATTATCATATCTCATAATACTATTAAGATTTACTGGGCAGGAGACCTCCCGACAATAGCGGTTTGAACATTATGTGTTCATGTTCAATAAAGAACTTCCATTATTATTATTTAAACGTTGTTAGGGATTAGATCCTTGTTTCTTAATCCTACCATCATTTCATTCATTCAAAGTAAGGGGTTGTACTAAGATCATTTTGGACACGTCTGTCTAATACGTAAATGTTGGGCAGTAAGATGTTTGGTAAAATCCTTGCACAAAAAGGATTCAGTAGGCTGCATGCCATTGACATATCGTTTTTTGTATCGAGCTTTCTAAACCCCTTTCAATAGGAAGTATGGGCTTCTTCTTCTTCTTAGATCATTTTGAATTCTTGCGTGCGAAGCGACCATCAATATCCCACAATCCCAATCACCCATCTGTAAATACCTACATGGTGGGCGTTAAGATTTTTGATTTTTGGCTGTATGCCACTGACAACGTTTTTTGGATCGAGAGATATCTAAACCCCTTTCAATAGGAAGTGATGACACCATCCATATTCAAGGGACTTCTACTGAGATGATTTTGAATTTTGGCTTGCGAAGCGACCACTAATATCCCCCAATCACCCCACCCTTATACGTACATGGTGGGCGCTAAGATTTTTGCTAAAATCCTTGCACAAAAAGGATATAGTAGGCTGCATGCCGTCGTAAGACAGGTCCCCGGAGTTGCAGTCCGAGTTCCTGTCCCCGTTGTCCATGCTCATCGCTCCGTTGGGCACCCGCATGTGCCCGTAGTCGGGGGAGGCGCCATGTTGGGCGGCCGCCAGCAAAGCGGGGTGCAGCAGCGTGGGCGGGTGGTGCAGGGGCGGCGATTCGCGCTCCAGCTTGTGCATGCGGGGCGGGGAGGAGGAGGCCTGGAAATAAATCAGAAAAATCATTAGGGGGATGTTTTGTTCACTAGCATTTAAATAATAATAATTTCAATATTGAGAAACTTTTGAGATGAGCAAGGAAAAGTGTTATTATACTCTGTAGTGTTTCACCACCAAACAAACTAGGTCATCATATCTCAAAGTGGAGTGATTAATCACTAACTCGATTACTAAGTAGGGATAAAAATCACACAAGTCATCTTGATGTTAGTTCAGCTATGCTTTTGAAGTATTCACATTAATGACTTCATGTATTGTTGTAGAATTCTTTCATTCGCTGAAGATAAGCTCATACCTAAAGAAAGAAACATGTACGATAATTATTCCTGAGTATAACTTGATTACTTTCTAAGTTGTGGAGATGCCTTTGTGTTTGGTGACTTTCAGTTTAGTTCTGGTTTAAATATTCTCCTGAAGATACTAACTAATAGTTATGGAAACACAACATGTTTGAGCGTTAAAAATCGGATGGGATAGTTGTAAAAGTATTTTTTTTTCTGGTTCCCACGAAAAGGGATATCCTGTAATGTTCAGAGAACATCGTGAGAACCAAGGGAAATAAGGTAGGAATTGGTGTTCTTCTTGAATTTCTGAAGATTATATGCCTCGGGGAACACTTCCCTTGGCAATGTGTCCCAGAGCCTCGCTGTTCGTTGGATGAACGAGCCTTTGGAAAGAGATGTTCTGCAGGTCTCCAAAGTGACCACGAAGGGGTGCGAAGCCTCAACTCGACGGGTTAATCTCGCGGGGACTGCCAAGGGAGGTACAATTGTTGATATTTCAGAAGAGCATCGTCCATGGAAATATCTATAAAATGGCCTATCGCCAACTTTTCTACGGTGTTCCAGAGAAGTGAGTGAGTTTGTGAGCGAGGCATCACCCACGAGACGAATTGCCCTTTTTTGAACAGAATCCAACAGTTTCAGGGTATGTTTAGGTGCTGCACTCCAAATATGGGAATTGTATTCCAGGACAGGTCGGATCTGTGCCTTATAGATCATAAGCAGCTGACTGGAAGTGAAATAGCTCCTGGCCCGAAACAGAAAACCAAGTTTTTGGGATGCACTTTTCGCAATTGATCTCACGTGATTGGCCCAAGAAAGGTTATTGCTGATAGTAATAGTGTAAAGTGATTATCGTGACAAAGATTCCAGTCTTCGATATAACACATTTTACATATTGCTATTTTCATTCTCATGTTCTGAGGAAAATATAAATGGGTTGCAGATCTTACAGATATAGAATTTGAGCTAATATTATTGGGCTATAATAAATATACAAGTAAGTGTTGGAGATATGTTGCAAATGTTAACATTTTTCACTTCACTCAAATCGTGGTAGACATTAACCAACTATACCTATGTATTTGTTGAAATTTTGAATCAAACGAAATGATATGATGTTGAATGCAACCCAAGGAGTAAAACTAATTACTTTGTTGTTTGTTGATAAATTTCATACAGCTTCACGAGCAGCTTCATGCAAACATCTTATTTCATAGAAGGATTGAATAGGTGCAATTATTTGAAAATTTATTATTTATTCCCTTCATATTTTTTAGATTTCGAATAGGTATTCATGCATCAGAATGATCACAATAAGTACATATAAGTATTGAAGCAAGTGGCTTTGATAAGAAGTACCATTGCACTCTTATTTTTGTACTGACATCTGTATATAAACTGTTTTATCAAAATTGTAAAATTATTCAAAGGTAGATTCCTAGAGAACAAAAACTGAAACTATAGCTTTATTTCGATAGTCGTATTTTTCGCTATACAAGCTGTTCAAATAGTAGAAATAACAAGTTTGTCAACAAACCCCGAGACAAACACTCTCTATTTTTTGGTTTTTTGTTTTGTCATTATTCTCCAGCAAATTACCACATTGAATATACACTGCATATCCTTTTTTATGTTCTTGTACATTTTTAATAATTGAAGAGCGTCCGCATATGAACCTGTCTAATTTCAAGAGGATCAGAAGAAGGAAATTTGAGAATTTGATTGGAACCTGTTTCTTAAAAAAAACATACCGTGACTCTTGAAAGGTCAGTCTAAGAGTTTTAAAAATCCATTGTTTTTAGTTTGAAAAGCAATCTACCTTTTGAATTTCAACAATATCAATGAATCACCTGCTTGCACATTAATTTTCAATCATTTTAATTGTTGTTCATATCAAAGCGACTCACCTGCATTGCCATGTGGTGGCCATGACTGGGCCCATGGAAGAAGGGACTGTAGGGCGAGAAAACCTGAGATTCGTGTAGGCCTGGATTGGGTATCGCCACCGACGTAGGAAGGGAGACGGGCAACATCGGCGGCGGCTGGTGATATGGGGACGGCCTCGGAGAAGAGCACGTAGGCGGTTCCATGCCCGCAGGAGACAGCCCCATGCCGTCCTGGCCCAGGATCCTGCTGACGGTACGAGGAGTAATCCTTGTATCGGTCACTTTGTGCCTCTTCTTCTTGGGCGCCACCACCAGACTCAGCGCCTCGTTCTGCTCGGGAGACTCCTGCTTGGACACGCAAAAGGGGTGGCTCATGCCGTACAGGGGCGCGCTGATACCGGGCGGCTTCGGAGGCTGGAACATGGGTGGTCGTATGTGCAGCTCCGAGGGCTTCTGCATGTTCATACTGTGCACGGGCATCATGGGCGGGCAGCCCGAATTCCCGTTCACCATTTGGTTCTGGTGGTTGGTTTGCGGTGGCGGCGCTTGGGGCCGTTCCGCCACCTTGGTCCTGGGCGACTTCCTATCCAGGAGCTGCGAGGCCATCAACAGGTCTTTGTTCAATTGCTCCGCAGCGGTCGCCGCATCTTGCTGCTTGCACCTCTTCTGGTGCACGAATCTGTGCAGGATGGAGTCTATCAAGTTGGATAACGACGCCGTTATTTCGCTTTTCAGAACGTCGGCTAGGCCTTCTAGATCCGTACCGCTTGGGTTGATGCTTCTCATCATGCTGAGGCGTTCCGATATGTGGTCGGGTTTCGGAGGAGTGATTTGCTGTTGCTGCTGAGGTGGTTGTGATTGTTGCGATTCATTGCTCATGGCGTTGGCCGCAGCAGCTTCTTTCGCTAGCCTGGCTTCTTGCTCCATGAAGAGCTTGTGGCTGACGCCGAGGTACATGGCTGCGGCGTTACTCATGTGTTGGTGAGGGTTGTGTAGGAAGCCGTTGTGGAACGGCGGACCAGGAGGACTTATTTTCATTTTGCTCACCTCTTGCGCTAGCGTCGGCTGCTGTTGTGAGGGGGTGGGTGTACTAGTAGTCACTGGCGAGGGTGGTGCTGATCGTTTGCTCTGTTCACTGTCACTAGGAATTTCCTCGATCTCCTGGCTCTCTTCCGAGCCTTGTTCCACTCTAGTGCACAGCTGCATGTATTTTTGTTGCATCTCTGCGAGTTGTTCTTGCATCGACCGCAGCTGGGATTTGAGCATACTTTTTTCCACACGTTTCTGTCTTATCGGCTCGATATCTTCCTCTTCGTCGTCCACGTATCTTTCGGCGTTAGTGTCGTGCTGTTGGGGCTGGTACAGCTTCCGTTTCTTGCATCCGTTCACTTGGGGAGGCGCAGGACTCGACCGCATGCTGGATACGATGTTTTCTACTCGCGCTTTTTTCGCATCCTCTGGTTTCGCGGGGCTCGAAGGCTCCACTTTCGGGGAAGGTAGCGACTCGGTTTCCATGCCGTTGAGGGCGTCTTCCATGAGCTCTACCTGTTGTCGTTCGCCAACGCCGGCTTCAGCCAGGCATTCCTTCATGGCCACCGCTGCGTCCACATCGTTTCGTTCTGGACTGGCTTTGGGTTCGTTGTTGTTGTTGTTCATGATGTGGTCCTGTCCGTTGCGTAGGTCGTGCTCCAGGGCCATGAGCTCGTGCTTTCGCCCTTGCAGGATGTCCCGGAGCATGTGGTGGGCAAGTTGCTCTCCCGAAGGAGGACTCTGGTCGCAGCGGATGACGTTATCGAACTTGTCGTCACTGTCGTTGCCGTTTTCGGTCTTTTGCCGACCGAGCAGTTCGTTCAGCATCTTGGCGGGCGCGAACCCCGGTCCGAAGAGACCGAACTGTTGCTGTTGGGTGAAAATGGCGCCGTATAAATTGCTACTGCCACCGAGAAAGGCCGGTCGCGAACTGAAGTTCGGGATCGAAGAGTACGAGTTACGCGGTTCGCCGGCGTCCACGCGCTGTCTAGTTCTTTTGGATTTCTTCAGGAGCTTATCTGTATACAAACCGAACTCACTCTCCTCCTCCGATGACATCATAAGTCGAAGCGTTATTGGTCGCACGGCTCCCCCTCCAGATCGGCGTCCCCACTTTAAGAATAGTCGCCCATTTCAATACCTGAAATGAGACACATATCGTGACGGCGTCTGCCGAGGAACAGGGCATGAGGTTGAGGGTTCGTTTCTCCGGTAGCACCTGCGGTCGCGGCGCAACTGTTGATTGACACTCGCACAGAACACTGACTGAACAGTGCCGCAGAACGCAGTTGCTGGCCGGAGAAGTAGGTGGTCGATGTGAGCAGTTTAGACAATCAGGGCCAATTTTCTTCAGTATTATGGTTAATACAAACAAAGCTATGATGATATACCGAGTGATGATATATCCGTGGCTCTCTCAAACTCCTTGAGAATTCAACAGAATTCCTAATTGTTTCTAGAACTCTTTCGTAGACTGGTAGATTTTCGTAAATTTTTTCATCATTTTTGAATTCACAGATATCAGACAAACAGAAAAGTTGATTATTAATGGAAATTATTACCACATTCTGACACAAAAACGTATTCAGTTTGATGATATGAATATTTCCGCATCAAAATTAGCGCTGTTATTTTAATAGCTCCAGTATATTGAAACTTGAAATGAACTCTTATTCGATTGAAATCATGAAAAGAAAAGTTTTTCGAACCTGACACATAGTTTTGCTTAACATAAAAAGAGTCAAGTTCCAATAAGGTATATTAATTTTATATTGCCAGTTATATAGATATACAGTGTGTGCAATTTTAACTGGCAACACTTTCCTGATATGGCATCCGTTGACCGATTCAAAAAAATCAGAATTTCATAATAGTATAATCAACCACATCAATTCGAGAATGTTGACAAATATGTATAACATTATAAGATTCTCAAGGCCTACTATACTCTTTGTTTAAAAGTCAAAATTACGAAAATGACAACTTGCTCTTTGTTCAAGAGTCAAAATTACAAAACTGACTATTTACGCATTTTTTTCTCGAAAAAGTGGGTACCTAGTTCCTATTCGATATTTGGAATAACCCCATGGAAAATCTTTACACAATACCTCTTATATAGGGTGTTAGTTATTCAATGACAAATATTAAAACTTTTGAGCTCCTTCAATCCGCCCTGAATCAACACCTAAGGATTTTATACAACCGGTAAAAGAGTCACTCAATGGGTATTTTAAATATATGCGTCTACTTTATTGTAGAAAGCTCGTTGAGTTCTCATCCTATATCATCGTTTTTTGTTTAATTTAGGTTAATATTCCACGAATTCCACAAATTATGTTATCGATTCTGATTTTGAAAAACTTCTTACCAAAAGTTTTTTATGTTTTATAAGTTTATATAGGTATCAGCTTCATATTATTATTATTATCATTCACATATTTCCGTTAGCATATATGGATAAAACGATCAATTAAAAGATTAGACAACGAATCTACGACAGATGTTGGAATATGGTGAGAAACGGTAAAGTACATATACTCTTGATGCCATATGGCACAGTCTAGTGAAGAAGGCGGAATTACTACAATAGCACCACACGATAGGGAGCTTTTTCGCAGATAATCACCCTATAGGAAACCATTATGGCAAAGTTAATGATATAAAGATAAAATGATAAAGTTTCCTCATGATACTCATTAGTTTCCGACGTATCCAACACTTGATTCTTGCAGAAAATATATCGGAACTTTCTGAATCTTTAAAGATACCCATATTATACACAGGGTGCATAAGCTATCTGGAGGTGAGTGAAAGATATATCAAAATAATTTTTCCGCATAACGTCTTATCGGTGAAAGCCGCACTAGATTTATTTTTCCTGCATCAATGTATGTTGATGAGATACGTTTTTCTGATACACTTTCAGATTTCGGAAATTTTTATGAAGGGTATTTTAGTGGGTGGGTCTTGATTCTTTGAAGACAACTTTTTTCCTCGTCTCCTTCTTGGTAAAAAAATTTAAGCATTTGATAGAGCGAAAGGAATTACATGAAAACGGTACTCCTATCAAAAAACAAAAATTGTAACCGTTTTTGAGTTATATCAGTTTTTGTAGTGACAATGATATCAGCAGATAAATTTATCAGCGATAATATTTCAGGAGGCCTCAAATTTTTTGGCCGGACACCAACTCTATATTTCTCATTCATAATCATCAGCAATTTCTTCAAATCTCAGTTGAAAATCGCAGAAATAATATTAGTAAGCAAAAAAACGAAACGACGAAATAAATAATAACAGTGTTCATGTGTTAAATGTCGATATCAAGAACAAAATTGATCATGACCTCCTAAAATATTGTTACCGATGAATCAATCTGCTGATATCGAGTGACTACAAAAACTCAAATATCTCGCAAACGGTTAAAAATTTTGTATTTTGATAAGAGTACCGATGTCATGTATTCTTTTTTGCTCTATTCAATGCTTCTATTTTGTCACCGAAAATAATATGAGGAAAAAGGTTGTCTTCAGAAAATATTGACCCACCCACTAAAAACACCCTTTATAACACTATCAGAAATGTAGAAGTGTATCAAAAAGATGCATTTCATCAAAACATCTCAATTTCGTGGCTTTTACCGTTTAGAAGTTATGTGAGCATTTCATCAACTTTGGAAGGATATATATCTCCCTTAATATACATCTTGGGATATTAGTTCATTCATCAAAATATACTTATTTTTCAATGTACAATCACCTCCAGGAAGCTCGATATACATATTTTCGACTCACCCTGTATAATTTAAGGTAAAAATTCCTATTTAGTGGGACAATTTGTTTCATGAAGAACTCGAATCTTGTTGAAATTCTGTCAACTTTGCGGGTGCATAATTTCTCGAACATTCTTCATATTTCTGATGAGACATTTTGTGTCAGTATTCAAAGGGTAGCTATAAAAAGGTTACACAATCCGGTGTGAACCTGGATTGATACACAGTTGTGTGGACCTGGAGTGAAAATCAACTAGTTTCTACAACTTGAAGGACATTTCATTGATCTCCACCTTGAAAAAGTATACGTTTCGAATTCGTCAGACCATAATGACAATGACAATTCAGTGTTTCATGTTTAGTTGAACTATGAGAAGTTCTATTATACCCTCAGTTACGTCATCATAAATCAATTAACACCGTTTGGACTCACTATATAGCGGTGTTATCCGAGGTGTTATCGATTCTTCGCTGTGTATATTTATGCATAAAATCGTTAAACTTTTGAACAATCAAAGTTCCTATCCGTGTACCCAAATAACGTATTTTTCCAAAAACCGGGCTCGAGAAATATTCTCACGAGAAAAACCTGAGACATCTCAAGGTGAAATTCGGACCCCATCGTTTCTTTGCACCTTCGATTTACTTACCTGCTTTGCAGATATCAAATCTTGGTATGGTATGATGGTAAGCGAAATATCTGAAGATTTACATCAAAGAAACCAGTACACAATACAAGGTGTCCTGCAAGGTTTTGTTGTTAGACCAGTTCCTGTATCCTATTTATGGATTCTCTATATATAAGGGAATCGATGTTCTGAGAATGTTTGAGGATGTTTAGAAGAAAATTGATAGGTATAAAGGCGGATTTATGAACACACCTTCTCATTATTCTATAAATTCAGATACATTAACGTTATCATCAAGATATTCAAACAACCATTTTATATAGCATTCAAATTAACTTTAATCTGCTCCCATTAATTATTCTCTGAAAGATAACCAACTTTCATTCCTCAAAAGGCACATATTATGAGTAAGAGTACAATTCTATCAGAATTCTGGCAGCTATATACCTACTATCTTCCCCTCATTTTTCCAAAATTTGTTCACAATTTTTGATAATACCCATGGATACTACCCTTTGACTGTACGAATAAGACTTTGATAACAATAGGGATGATCGAAACTTACTGTTATAATGTGAGCAGAGGATATGAGGATACCTATATTTCCTGCGCGGGCTAAGAGTATATACGTTGAGAAATTTTCTATAATATGATCATGAAAAAGAGTTTGGAGTATAGAAGGTATATCAATTTTCATCACAACCAACAAGAGCAATTGATTCATGAAAAAGTGGTGTGCATAAATTCATCATAGCTTATATATATACCTACCTTTTTTCCTTATCCTCACTAGGTATACGCACGATGTTCTCCGAACATTATAGGGTTTTGCTTTCGTGCGCTCCAAGAGATGAAATACTGCAGAAAAATGGGTCGAATTCCACTCAAGGTACAATACCTATTGATTTCGATTTAACCAGGCCACGCTAGACACCTACAGACCAGTTTCAAGCTCTGCGACTCTCATCAGTGCAGGGCTGTCTCCAGCCAGCAGTCCTGAGATCGCCGACTAAGCGTAGCCTAACCAAACAAAAATCAAGTCGGTATTATATTTCCTCAGAGGCGTCCTCCATAGACAAGATGAGAGCAACGCCATCTGAGTTGAAAAGAAGGAAAGAAACAGTCTGAAACCGAAATTCCCATATACGAGAGGGGCTGGTTGCCCGACTGGCGTAATCTCAACTACGATAAATAGACATGCTCAAATTGGAATGAAATGTTAGATAAATACAAAAGGCTCAAAGTCATTTACACGCACAATGTTCATAAAATGCATCACAAAAATGGTAAGTATACATTTCGGGAGAAAAACAACTACTATCCTGGTTATAATGCCACGCAGAACATTGAATTACATCCTCCCGAAATCTATGCATCGACTCGTATATAAACGAATATTCTGATACAAGTGATTCTTTCCTGAATCAATCAAATTTAATCAATCAAATTCGTTATATAAACATTTTTATTATTGAGGAATACTGTTAAAAAAATAAATTCCAGTTGAGAATTCACTCCAAAATTTATCTTAGTAGATTAACTGTCAAACATACATTATATATCCAGTCACTCAAAGGGATTATAACTGAGGTATCAGAGTGAATATTATATACAAAAGAACATTTTCTAAATAGATCATGCCTCCGAAACACAAACCCCTATGATCGAAGGATCAGGCTATAAAACTCCAGGATGTTTCGCAAGATTGATGTATAAGTATTCATGAAGAATCCATGAGAAATAATGGAATTCATCAGATTGCTCCTATAAAAACAGCAGTCAATATGCCATGCTGCAGAAGAATATCATTCTGATCTTCAATAAGAGACAGCGGGTTCAAAATC